ACAAGATATCATTCATTTAGAAAAACATTGTAAAATTTCTTTTTACTTTGTGAAGGGACACAGTGGGGTCCTAGGGAATGAATTAGCGGACAAATTTGCGTCCGATGCCCGTCGCCAGGGATCCTATGTGCCAATAGGAAAGTCAAAAAAATATGTAAAGAAAGAAATAATAAGGAAAGGGAGGGAGGTTTGGAATGAGAACTGGAATATACAAGGGGCAACAAAGGAATTGTTTCAGTGGATACCCTCAATTTCAAGTATTCCATCCTTTTTCCCTTCCACTTATATGCTAACCCAGGTGTTAACTGGACATGGAAGGTTTCCTTTTTACTTTCAACGATTTAAAATAAAGAATCATAACTTATGTTTTTGTGGGGCAGAATGTCAATCAATAGATCACTATCTTTCTACATGTCCTTATACAAATAGTTATAGAGTAAGACTTGGCCTAACACCTAACATAAACTTACAAAAACAAAAAGCAATTCAATCTCAGAATAAAATGGAAATATTAAGAGAAATGGCCCAATTTATAAATGACAATATTGAATAGAATAAGGGTATAATTTTTGTTTTTCATTATTTGAATTGACATGGCTGGGAGGCAGAAAGGCTATCACAAGATGTCAAAAGAACATGTACAATTTTCTTTCATTTATTAAAAGCAAATGAAAACCTTCAAATGAGACCCATGCTAAGAAACTCGGGTAAAGTCACTACAATGTCAATGGGGAAAACCTAGAAAGGTGCCCACAAAATGAAATTACTTCATACAAATAAACAAAGACAACTACATCAACTTGAATCCCTGGAATGACATACCCAAATGAGTTTATTCTACACAAACAAAAGCTGGGCTCATTGCATGCAAAATGGAAGACCTTAAAATTTTTTGTGACAGGAAGGCACAGACAAGTTCTGTCGTCTTAGGCTTCCAATTAGTTACCCGACGGAATGCATGCCACAGAAGACCCGAATAACATCTAGGAGGGAGCAGACCAGTGCTGCGTCCCTGGGCTTCTGTTTAGATTTTAGAAAAAGCAAAAATGCTTTAAACTTTTATTTTTGTTAGGAAGCTCATTTATATGGGCAAAACATCGTACATGTGTGTAAAGTGAAAGCCAAAAGCCAACTAAGAGATGTCAGTATTAATTAGAAAAAAAAACAAAAAAACTTAGTAGTTTGGGAAATGGGGGAAGGGCTCATAAATGAGGGTAAAATAATATAACTAATTAATTAAATAAAATGTTTTTTAGATAGAGATAGTGGAAGGTGAAAAAGTAATAGTTATCACTCTTAACCTAGAGTAAGGCAAGTTAAAACAATGCTGAAATCCGTGGCACTGGGTGATCTGGCACTGTGGCTGTAGGGGGTTTAACTTGTACATTGTTGGACTTCACATTGTTGAGCTCAGCATTGTTGTATTGGCATTGTTGTGTTCGGCATGGAGGATAAAGCGGACGGCCAAGCCCGAACCAGCTTCGGGATTTTCCTGTGGAAAGCCTCAGCTGCGCGGCGTCTGAGGGCTTCGTGCCCAAAGTGCTATGCTTCGGCCGGCAAAAAATAGTCAACTCAGAACTGGCACGGACCGGGGGAATCCGACTGTCTAATTAAAACAATGCATTGCGATGGCCGGTGTTGGTGCAATGTGATTTCTGCCCAGTGCTCTGAATGTCAACGTGAAAAGATTCATCAAAGCGCGGGTAAACGGCGAGAGTAACTATGACTCTCTTGTCATAGTTACTCCCGCCATCAAAGGTGCCATCAAAGGACAGGAAGGTGAAGGTGGACACCTCGGAAAGTTTTACGGTGAGAGGCATCGCGTTACCAACGAGCGACACCGCCTCGGTGTGGAAATACCTGGGCCTCCAGTTTACGGCAATGGGTAGAAGGGCCATGCCGTTGGCGAGAGAGCTGGCCGAGCTCCTGGGTAGGGTCTCGAAGGCCCCTTTAAAACCTCAACAGAGGCTTGTGATCTTGAAGTTTTACCTCATTCCGCGCCTCTTACATAGGTTGATCTTAGGACCTTGATCGCAGAACCTTTTGCTCCGACTAGACAAGATGGTCAGAGCCGCAATGAGAAGGTGGCTGGCACTGCCACACGATGCTCCGATGGCATACTTTCATGCCGAGGTCTCCGAGGGTGGGTTGGGCGTCCCGTCATTGAAGACGACCATACCAGGTATGCAACTACGGAGGCTGGATAAATTGTCCCAGTCTACCCACTCTGCCTGCCCTATTGAAAAAGGCCAATATGAACTCGGCTTATTGGAAATATTGTATTCCAATGAAGTTGATGGAAACCAATAAAAACTTATTGTTATCCGATTAACCCAATACGCACGATGGGAATTCATATCGGAGCACAATATCCCGATATAGTATGTGGTTATTGGTATACAACAGGATATTGGAGCACAATATCCCGATATAACTTGCGGTTATTGGTATACAACACGATATCGGAGCACAATATCCCGACAGAACTTACGGTTATTGGAATAGAATACGACACCGCGTGCATATTGGTGACCGACATGGACATACTGCGCGGCCACACGATATATAAATATCGGTCGTCGATCACGGGCCCAAAGGAGAATACAATATCGCGTGGATAAATCTCAGAACGAATTCCAAGTTACCAACATGAATTACGTCGGCATATACCGCGGACTAAGAGGATCCGTAACACAGTCTTGATCGCCCGTGAAGCAACATGTGGATATCGGTACGCCCACATATACGACATCGCGTGAATGATATTGTAGAACAGCAGGAGTTACCATACGGCAATACGAGAGAGAACGATATTGGAGGTGGATACACACAGAACACAAACGTTCCGCGTTGCAAACACATTCACATTGATCGAAAGCGCAAGTGTACGTACGGCACACAGTACACACAGCCTCGAGCGCTTGAAATGCTAGACAACCACCAAACCATTCAGAATAACTAGCTGGGACACCCGCGACCTACCTTACAATGAGAAAGCCTAATAACGACGTGCTCATTCGAGTGATCGTTTTCAAACAAATGTTTATTGCAGTTTTAATGCAACAAAAGTTAGGTTACCGATGTTGGAACCCAAATCGAACGCGATACGTGACAATGTCAGTTCGCACGATAAACTAATGAGGATTAATGGGCTTGACAGGTCACGTGCTTCTTACCCGCACATTTATCGATATTGACCCACCTTTCTGGGTAATCCTACGTCGTACACAAAATCCACAACCACACACGAGCACATTTCACCCACCACTCTTCGTCGCCTGTTTCGCAAGATTCACACACTGTAAGAAACGGCGGGAAAAATACGTGCATTTGCGCCATCAAACGATACGTTACAGACTCGTTTTATGGGAAAAGTTTCCATCGTCAACCCGCGCGCGCGAAAGCTCGAGCGCTCGAGCTTCGGAGGCAGTGGGCGCGTTAAGTTAACGCGCTCGAGCGCGCTCCAGCGGTCAGAGTGCACTCGAGCTAAACTAACTAAACGACATCGTCTCACTTCCGGTGCACGGTGGCGGAGCGCGCTCCGCGAGCTCCGTCGTCGGAGATTATACTTCAGCCTCTGTCGCACTTACTATCAAGTTCACAACTGCTTTCCCTTCTATACCGGAACTGACGTCAACGTTTCAAAGCTATTTTGAAAATAAAAAATAGGTGGCGCCCTAGGCGCTCCCCCTTAGGGAAGTATTCTCCCCTTCCGTCTTCATCTTTCCTTCGTTGATCGGAGCGACGAGTCGTAAGTTTCATCGCTCTTCGAGCCTTTTCTTTGTTCTCCGGAGATTTCAACCGATAGAACTCGGAGAGGCTCACTCTCGTCAAGAGATTGACTTCGCCTTCTGCGAGGTTTTAGAAGAAACTTTATCCGACCGCTGAGTAAACAATTTTGAACCTATTTGTCGCACGTCCGCTATCAGTGCTAGGCCTAAGTTCTCGGGCCCCGGCCTCGAACAAAGGCAGTGGAATTTCAAGCAGCGGAGTTTTAGTGGCTTGAAGGACCCGTTCCCGCTCACGTCCTATGGGCTCCGGCTCCGGACAAAGCAGGACTATTTTCGGTTTACAATAGGGTCCGATCCCCCTTGTTGTTCTATGGGCCCCGGCCCCGAACAGAGGCGGCGATCTTAAACTACTTCCGGCGTCCTCGCTCGCGTCCTATGGGCTCCGGCTCCGGACAGAGCAGGACTATTTTCGGTTTACAATAGGGCCCGATCCCCCTTGTTGTTCTATGGGCCCCGGCCCCGAGCAGAGGCGGCGATCTTAAGCTACTTCAGGCGTCCGCGCTCACGTCCTATGGGCTCCGGCTCCGGACAGAGCAGGGCTATTTTCGGTTTGCAATAGGGCCCGATCCCCCTTGTTGTTCTATGGGCCCCGGCCCCGAGCAGAGGCGGCGATCTTAAGCTACTTCAGGCGTCCGCGCTCACGTCCTATGGGCTCCGGCTCCGGACAGAGCAGGACTATTTTCGGTTTGCAATAGGGCCCGATCCCCCTTGTTGTTCTATGGGCTCCGGCCCCGAGCAGAGGCGGCGATCTTAAGCTACTTCCGGCGTCCCCGCTCGCGTCTTGGGAGCTGCGGCTCCAAACGACGCAGCGCGGTCTTAGACAGTCACAAGGGCTATTCAATAAGCCAAACTGTCCGATCCCCCTTGTTGTTCTATGGGCCCCGGCCCCGAACAGAGGCGGCGATCTCAAGCTACATCCGGTGCCCCCACTCGCGTCTTGGGAGCTCCGGCTCCGGACGACGTGGCGCGTTCTTGAACAGCCTCAAGGGCCACACTTAGCACCTTTATCCCTTTCGTTCGACAACGGAGATCAGTGCGGCGGTAATCGTTTCTAACCGATATGTGACTTTCTTGGGCTTCTCAGATGTCAACCGCCGAGATCGTGGAGCTCCAACGAACGGTGGCGAACATCGCTACTTCGGTAGCGGTGCTCACCAACCGCCTCCCTCCGTTAGCCACGGAGGATGTCGAACTCCGCATAGTGAGCGGAGCAACTCGCCAGACCTGGACCCTTTGGGTCCCGCTGACGAGCCCCATGCCTGGTTGGGGAGACCGACGGAGGGCCGTCCCCGGGAGGTGGACCCTGCCCTCCTCGACTTCCTCAAAGAGCACTGGGGCCCCGAAGGGCGCGCGGAGCGGTGCAGGGCGGCCCTGACGAGCTTCCCGCGACCGCGGCTCCCCTTCGCCACAGTGCCGGAGTTAAATCCGGAAATGAAGGCCCTGGCGAAGGAGAGGAGCCGCCGTCCAGAGGGTGGCTCGGAAGGGCCCGCCAACGTCGCTGCCCGGGACCAGGCACTCCGAGAAAGCCAAGACGGAGTGGCCGCTGCTATGGGGCCACTGGTTGGCCTATTAGAGATTGGCCTCACGGAGGAGGCCATTGATAGAAAGACGGTGGCTGACCACGTGGGGGCAGCTACCGCCCATCTCGGGCGGCTCTTCGCGTCGCTCTCCCGCGAGCGCCGGGAGGGGGTGATTGCACGAGTGGCCCCAGACCTCCGCCAGATGGTGGCCCATGACGGCGGGGACGAGGGATCCCCACTGCTGTTTGGAGAGGGCTTCCTGGGGCAGCTGCGAACGCGGAACGAGACCATCAAGGTCCTCCGGGAAGCCCGCCAACCGCCCCCTCCCGCCGCGGAGCCAGCAGCCAAGAGGTCCCGCAGCTCGGCTGCCCCAGGGACCAGTGCCCAGAGCCGGAGTGTGGGCCGGCAGCCCTTTCACGGGGGGCCCCCTTCCCGAGGCTACACGAGGGGGGCCTACCTCCGCCAGGGACATCGAGGCAACGGTAAGCCCGCACCTCTTAGCACTGCCGCCCGCGGGCCGACTGGCATATTGCCGCGAAGCGTGGAGGTTACTCACCCACGATGCTTGGGTCCTTCAGACAACACAGGGGTACAAGCTGGAGTTTGCACAGGTACCAGCGATTCAAGGGTTGCACAACGTGCCGACCCGAGGGCAGTCAAATCAGGTCCGGGAGGCAGTGTCCGAGCTGGTCAGAAAGGGAGCGGTCTCTCGGGTACCACCCTCCGAAGTGAAGTTCCTCTCCCCCTTCTTCATAGTACCAAAGAAGGACAACAAGATGCGCCCAATTCTAGATCTCCGACAACTAAACGAGTCGGTGCAACACAACCACTTCAAGATGGAGGGGTGGCACTCTGTGAGGGATCTTATCCAGCAGGGCGACTCCATGATACGTATCGACCTGAAGGACGCATACCTGTCTGTCCCAATCTGCCACCAGGACCGCCCCTGGCTCGGCTTCCGAGAGGGGGACAGGGTCTACCGTTGGAACGTGCTGCCATTTGGCCTCAGATCGGCACCGAGAGTTTTCACAAAACTACTGAAACCAGTCGCGGCCTATCTCCGGTCCAAGGGACTTCGCATTGTCATGTTCTTGGACGATATCCTTGTCATGGACCAATCCCCCTCCCTACTCGCAAACCAGGGACATCTAATCGTGAACCTCCTACAAAACCTGGGTTTTGCCGTAAACTTGGAGAAGTCGGTACTGACACCAGCCCGGGACTTGTTGTTTCTGGGGCTATCGATAGACTCGAGACGATTGACGCTCGAGCTCCCTGGAGAGAAACTCGCCAACCTGTTAGACCACCTACAGCAGAGGCTAGAGCAACCGGTGATCTCGGCCCGCCAAGTCGCAAGCTTGGCGGGACAACTGAATGCATGCCTAATGGTACTGCCGGAGGGTTCCTTTTATATCAGGAACCTTCAAACAGATTTGAGACGGGCCCTACAGAGAGGTACATACACGACCACTCTTACACTATCCAGGGACACGCGGCAGGACTTAGCGTGGTGGATCCGAGCACTGAGGAAGACCCCAAGGGGCCAGATCAAGACACCCCCAGTAGTACAGACGATACAGTCGGACAGCTCGCTGAAGGGGTGGGGAGCATGCTCGGAGGGGTGGACGATCGGGCATCACTGGACACCACTCCAATCCACTTGGCACATCAATGCCCTGGAGCTGATGGCAGCCTTCCTGGCCCTTCAGGCGCTGGCAAAGAATGTGTCTCGGGGCTCCATCCTCCTCGAGCTAGACAACACAGCAGCAGTAGCGGCCATCAACAGGAGGGGCAGCACCTGCTCTCCACAACTCACCAGGATAGCCCACGAGCTATGGTCGTGGTGTTGGGCGAGGGGAATATCAGTCAGGGCGCAACATATTCCGGGGCACATGAACACGGATGCAGACCAAGCATCCAGGAGAGTGATGGATGCCAGCAGTTGGAAGCTGTGCCCGTTCACATTCAGCAGGATCAACTGTCTGTGGGGCCCCGTGCACACGGACCTTTTTGCAGACTTCTCCAACCACCAGGTGAGGCACTACTACAGCTGGAAGCCGGATCCTCAGGCGGCAGCAGTGGATGCTCTCAGCCAGGACTGGACGGGTCAGGGCCTCTATGCCTTCCCACCGTTCAGCCTTGTGAGCAGATGCATTGCCAAGTTGCAGAGCTCCAACAGTCCGCTCATTCTAGTAGCTCCAGTTTGGCCATCTCAGCCATGGTATGCCTCGCTGCTGCACCACTCATACGAGGAACCGCGTCGTCTTCCCCAATCACACGACCTACTGCGCAGCCACGACGGGCAGGTACATCCAATGCTCAGCACGGGGAGCCTGACACTAGCAGCATGGAGACTGACCAACTCCAGCAAACTCATAGCCAACTTTCGGAGCAGGCTGCACACCTCATTGAGGCATCATGGAGGCGGGGAACACAGCTCACCTACACCTCTTGCTGGCGCAGGTGGGAACGCTGGTGCCATTCAAGGACTGTTGATCCCTTTTCTCCCACTTTAACACAGGTGCTCAACTTCCTCGCTAGCCTCTTTAAGGAGGGCCTGGCGTATCGCACTATAGGGTGTTACCGTTCTGCCTTGTCTCAGATCTTGCATAACTTTGACGGTTGCCCTCTAGGGGAACACCCATCAGTTGTGCGCCTTATGAAGGGAGTGTTTAATTCTAACCCCCCAAACCCCGATACCCCACAACTTGGAGGGTTGAAACGGTGACAACCCTCCTGCAGTCGTGGGGTCCTAACAAGGATCTTAGCCTCAAGATGCTCACTAGCAAGCTAACTATGCTATTAGCCCTTGCCTCAGCAGGCAGGACGTCAGACTTGTGCCTGCTTTCAACATGCCACATCCGTAAACAATCCGCGGGTTGGGAGCTTGGGCTCAGTGGCCTCAGAAAGACTTCTGGGGCATCTAAACCCCTTCCCACCCTCTTCTTCCCAGCATTCGAAGAGGTTCGGGAATTGTGTCCAGTGGAATGCTTGCAGGTGTACCTCGAACGAACTGCAGGACTCCGAGGCGCCCACACGCAGCTTCTGCTCACTACGCAGAAGCCTTTCCGCCCAGCAGCACGGGACACAGTAGCTCACTGGATAAAACACACACTAACGCTTGCGGGCATTGACACGTCGGTTTTCAAAGCGCACTCAACGCGAGGAGCGGCCACCTCCAAAGCTGTGGAGGTCGGAGTACCACTTGCCGACATCTTAGCAGCAGCCGACTGGTCCTCCGAGGCGACATTTAACCGCTTTTACCGACGGCAATCAGATACCCGGGCTCACTTTGGAACCCAGGTGCTGAGAACACATGCGAAAGCTTTGAACAAGCAGTTGTGAACTTGATAGTAAGTGCGACAGAGGCTGAAGTATAATTACCAGTTCTGACGAATGGTACTTACCTGAAGTTAGAGCGGGAATTATACGAAGCCTATGGAAGCACTTACTATCAAGTTCACACTCCCACCACATCCCTGCCCATTTTCGGGGTAAATTATCACATTCTCTTCCCTGTCGCAGGTCGAGGTGGTTCAACATGGCACCAGAGGTAACGCATAGCGAGAGCTCCAACCAGGTGCCATCACCAGAACAGGAAATAAAAGTGTTCTGAGTGCACAAGTGCCTCTTTCTTGTGGGGGCCCCACCATCGCAATGCAGCCGCAAGCTGTGCTGTAACCATTAACTCGGAAAGATGAAGACGGAAGGGGAGAATACTTCCCTAAGGGGGAGCGCCTAGGGCGCCACCTATTTTTTATTTTCAAAATAGCTTTGAAACGTTGACGTCAGTTCCGGTATAGAAGGGAAAGCAGTTGTGAACTTGATAGTAAGTGCTTCCATAGGCTTCGTATAATTCCCGCTCTAACTTCAGGTAAGTACCATTCGTCAGAACTGGTAATTGTGCGCGGGAGCGCGAACAGGTCGGTTTCCGGTGAGATGACGGCGTTTCCGCTCTCGCGGCCAGTCTCGCGGTTACTCGCGGTGATTTTGCAGGTGGTCGTGGTTTTACCGGTTTCACACGGTGGTGCGGTGGTCTCGCACGAGACGGAAGAATCATCAAAACCCTCGCGTTTTGGGCTCCGGACACTCCGGACAGGGCCGCCGGGCCACTCTGGATTAGAGGCGTCGGGTGTGCGCAATCCGTGGCGAGCGAGTTCGCTTCCGAACGCTCCGATGATGCCACCGCGCTCGCCTCGCCGTGGCCTCGCCAAACTTCGCCGACCGCAACCGCACCAACCGAACCCCGCGGCCGAACGACTCCGGCCTAGCCAGGAACGGCACCGAGGTAGGCCGGTCGGGGGTAGGAGCTGCTCGTTCTGTGCTACGATGCAGTGCTCGGAGCTCTCGGCGTCGTTCGTACTTGCGCCGAAGTCTTTAGGGACTCCGTCGGACGCGCAAGTCGCGCCTGCTTGGATGCGTGGATACTTCGACGGCGATCGCTTGGCAGCTCGTGTAGTCGTTCCGTCATCGTGGAAAAAAAAAAAAAAAAAAGCATGGTGCTGGTGTAGAAAGGTATGCATACATCCTTCAAATGCTTGTCGAAGTTCTTCATGTCATTCTTTAAGGCTTTTGGTAATTCAGAAGGCGTTCGGCGTACCTTTAATCGCCGCACCAACAGCGTGCAGCATAAATACAAGCTCTCGCTGTTGCCGCCGTCTCCGCGCACTTATTTCATCGAAGTCGTCGTCGACCAAACACTTTTTCGATGTTTCGACGGGACGGGAGCCATGTTCAAGCGCGCGCCGGAAAGCCGAAACCGGAAACGTTAAAAAAGCAGGCGTCAGATGGCGCCTCGGTCCCAAAGTGCGCCGTTAATAGCGAGTTCGTTTCACGGCACTCGTGCCCACGCGTGCCCACTCGCAGCGTGGAACGGGTTCGTTTCGGCCGGCGCTCCACGAGTGGTTGCACTCTCCGAGTTCGTTTCAGCGCTGACACCCCACGCGTGCATGCACTCGCTGCACCGAGAAAATCGGGAGTGCGCCAAAATGCAATCCCGTCATGCCTCGCTCCGGCGGGGCCGGCGAGGAGCGTGAGCAGACGACGAGGGTTCGTCTGCTGCGATGTGTCGCGGAACCGAACGGAAAAAAAAAGTAGATTTTCTGATAGAAATCGCGTCCCGCGGGAAACGAAATCAAACGCGAGCTTGAATTGTGAGCGTCTGCTATTTCACGGAGGAAGCAATTGACAACCCGTGATTTATTTGCAGGTTTTAAATCGCTCTGTTGCCGTACAAACGCTGTAATATACCAGTGTGTAAGGAAATGCTCAGAACAAACGCAACAGCGGCCCCCGAGATGTCGATCACCATCCGTGTGCGGGTGAAAATTTAACATTTGTCGATAAAACTCCCCCAGCAGAAACCTCTGACTGCCCAATAAGCATCAGAGAAAATTAAAGATGGTGACTTTACCCGAGGATTGGGCAACATCATCATGTTTAACATTTACCTACGCAGCTAACTTGCCCCGTCGTATTTTGTTCGAGAAAGCTCTCGTTTTCGACGCCCTCACCAAGGCTAATATCTAATCCACCTATTATGACGATCCAAATCGAAAGTCCCAGTTTTGCTGGATATTCCAACAGGCTAGTTTTAAGCCGTACCCTTTCTGTGGTTCACGCATAATACCATGCTCAAACGGATCAAGCTTCTGCTCGGACAGCATCATCAGTTTTCTTCAGTGTAAACGGTTATAAGGATTGAAAGATCGCAATCAGCTGCTTTGTAGACAGCTGGTTGCGGAAATTTACGCCGTCTGTAACTATCCCTACGGCAGCCGAGCTGCTTGAAGACATCGCAACTATGAACAACAGGTTGCAGTTGCCAACGTTTGTAGATAAACGTTGGTAGCCAGGGCCGTAACCAGGGGGGGGGATAGGGGGTTCTGACCCCCCCCGAAATTTTTTTCTGTGTACGGCCCTGGTCGGTGCACTGGCAGCCAGCCGATTCTAATCTCCACCTCTGCGCACGCGGAGTGGCGCCGGTCGGCTACCGGGTACCAAACCGGGACCGGTTCTCCGGTTTGCTGTAACTCTCCATTATATGCCACCGATGCACATGATTCATAGGCGAAAATAAGACAATAGACACTTTCAAAATGGCCGCCGTTGTCCCCGAAAACCCCCCCCGAAATTTTTTTCTGGGTACGGCCCTGTTGGTAGCGACTGCATTCTCGCATTCCCACGCATCGCTCGGAACAGAAAGGCACTAGTTTCGGTTTGAAGTCGGTACCTTTTCTACAACATAGATGGCGACAGCATCAGTCTTCTGCACTCGGTGCATTTGGCGAGTTCGTTTGAGTCCAGTTTTCCGTGCAACACTCAGTGAGTGCGATGCATTCTGGGAGAAAACTCGAACGGTGCCAGTGCGTGTGAAACGAACTCGCTATAAGCTACGCTCCGAACCCGCGCGCTCGAGCGCAGATGTCCGGAGTCTGGAGCTCACTAACTTAACGCGCCCAATTCGAATTCCGAAGGGAGGCGAGCCGAGCAAGCCGCGAGTAGCCCACCGAGCCAGACAAGCAGCTGAGCGGGCTGAGCGAGCCGCCGAGTGGCCAAATCCGCCGATCCAGCCAAGCCTAGCCAAGCCGCCGAGATTACGCGATTGCGCCATTGCGCAGCGACCGCGACCGCGCCAACCCGGCGAGACAGCGGCGATGGCGGGACCGACGGATAACGGCTCGTCAAGTTCGTCGCGCACTTTGCTTGTGGGTTCCAAGTGAAACCAACGCACTTTCAATCGCTTCGAAAGGTACGTATATACGACTTTATTACTTGCAGCATTGAGTGCTTTGGTATACACAGATCAAAGTGAACACTGAAGGACAGAAGGGATACATGATGTTTTGAAATCGCAGCTTATTTGAACGCATGCGTCCCCTGCTGAAAGCGTCTGGCTGTGCTCTGTTGCAGACGTCATTTCGACTGCGTGTACTCTGATGTAACTTCAGTCAGTGTTTATACTCGGCTAGCTCCGCTATCTTGTTATCTCATGTGCGAAATAGACGTAGAAACCAGCGCCTCGTCTCTTTCGGATATTGAACCTCCAGCCCCCTGGCTCCCAGCGTGCTTACCGGCGCAAACCGTTCGACGTGTTGGATTATTGGGCTCGTTCGAAGAGGCGTTGTTTAACGCTCGCGAGTCGCCGAAGTGTTACCGAAGCTTCTCTTTACGAAAGTCGCGATCGACGCTGGGCTCTGAGCTCGTATTTTTTTTTCCCCTGGTAGACTAAGAGTGCCGACCATTCATCTGTGGTGCCGACTGGCGCCGTACGAAGTTGAGAAAAGCTAGCGAGTCTGTCAGATTTTCGTGACGCCGCCCAACTGCTCTGCTACCGGCTGCGCTCAAAAAATAAGGTAAAAAAAAAAAAAAAAAACGCGTTTTATAATTTTCACATTTTTTTTTCTTTTTTTTTGCCATGTTTTATTTTAGTCGCCGCAAAGTAAATCGCGGCCGTACGTCGGTTGACTCCCGATTACTGTCTCTACATCGTAGATTGTCTCACCACAATGGTGCCTCGTTGGTGTGATCTTATTCTGATATCGTTACATCTTGCTTTTTCATCTTGGCACACTTCTAGACGACCTTCTACACGTTGCACTCCTTGTCGACATGTCGCTGGTGTTAGAGACAAATCTGAAGTCGCTGTTTGCGCACTCCTTGGTGCACATATTTCATGTTCAACATCAGGTATCTGAAGGAGGCGCCATGAAACCCTGGAGTTTGTTTAGAGGCACCTCAACATACTGTATACAAGTGTCGTTTTGTGTGTTATAGTTTCCTACAAAACCAAATTGCACTTTGTTCGTAATATACCCTATAACTGTTCACTACAATTAAAATTGCTATGAAACATTGGCCACGAGAGGTGACTCGGCCAACGCAGCCTGAAAATTCCTCGCATAATTTTTTTCATGGGTCATTTTGGACATTGACAAATTTTCTTGTGAATAATGAGTGTTATGCACATGTGTTCTACTTTTCGTACAGGTACTTCAGTTAGATAAACCCCAGCAAAGGCAGCAAGACAGTCTCATGGGGTCACACCAAGGATAACTGCATTCCTGCTCGAGTCCCGAGTCTTGTCACCAAACTTCACTGAACATAATGGTACATTCCCTTTCCTTAACCTTTTTTTCTGAAATGTGTTTTTTTTATTGTTGCTTTTTTCTATTGAAAAAGGGGTAGTACAACGTTTAAACACCCAATGTTTTTTGTTTTTTTTTATTTCTGTAAAATGTGTAGTAGATCGTTTAGACACCCAAGCGTTCATAAATTGTCTCTGTACCAGACAATAGGGTGTCTTATACTCTGTTTCATACTTAGCGTGCAACGCTGTCAAAGGTACTAAAGTGGTGCGCATGAAAAAATAGAAAAAGTGTTACTCCGCGCGTTTCGTGGACGAGTGGTAGAAGGCGCTGCTCTGGCGATATTGACGTCTCTGTGGCCGTGATTTGAACCCGTTTTACGCGCAAAGCTTTTTGATTTTTTTTTTTTTTTTTTTTTTTTTTTTAAGACATACTTTTTGTGCAAGATTGTGCGCATTGACGAAGTGCATATTTCAGTTCCTCCTTCTTGATATTTATTTATAAGTCGCCGAGAGGCCGGATTTCTACCATCTG